CCCCCCCCAAAACCCAGGAATATCCCCCCAAACCCAGGAATTTCCCCCCAAAATTGTGAATTTCCCCCCCCAAACACAGGAATTTTTCCCCCAAACTCAGGAATTTCCCCCCCCCAGCCCGGGATTCCGGGAATCTCCCGCTTTACCGCGTCGAACTGCGTGAAGAACTCGTGGGGTTTGCTCTCCACGCTCTCGGGGTCGGCCTTGACGTCCACCATGGGGTTGAGGCTCTGCGCCCGCTCCAGGGAGGCCTCGGCGCGGTTCCGACCCTGGGATCCCACCGGGATCAGGAACTGGGCCCGGCTGTCCTCGGGAGACACCTGGGAACAGGCGGAGAGGAACCCCCGGGATGGGAATCCTCGAACTCCCACGGGTTTGGGGGTGTTCCTGAAGGGGGGGAAACCCTCAGGGATGGAATTCCCAGATTTTGGGGGTGTTCCTGAAGGGGGGGAAACCCTCAGGGATGGAATTCCCAGATTTTGGGGATGTTCCTGAAGGGGGGGAAAACCCTCAGGGATGGAATTCCCAGATTTTGGGGGTGTTCCTGAAGGGGGGGAAACCCTCAGGGATGGAATTCCCAGATTTTGGGGGTGTTCCTGAAGGGGGGGAAACCCTCAGGGATGGAATTCCCAGATTTTGGGGGTGTTCCTGAAGGGGGGGAAACCCTCAGGGATGGAATTCCCAGATTTTGGGGGTGTTCCTGAAGGGGGGGAAACCCTCAGGGATGGAATTCCCAGATTTTGGGGATGATCCTGAGAGGAACAGAGGAAAAAATCCGAAGAATGGAATTTATTAAATTCCCAGATTTTGGGGATGTTCCTGAGAGGAACAGAACTCAGCAACAGGGAAAAAACTTGGGATTGGGAACTCTGGCCAGGACAAGGCTGTGCCCAGGTGTGTCCCCAGGTGTGTCCCCTCCCCCCAGGTGTTCCCAGGTGTGTCCCAGGTGTCCCCAGGTGTGTCCAAGTGTTCCCAGGTGTGCCCAGGTATGTCCAGGTGTGTCCCCAGGTGTGTCCAAGTGTTCCCAGGTGTGTCCAGGTATGTCCAGGTGTGTCCCCAGGTGTGTCCCACGTGTCTCCAGCTGTGTTCCCAGGTGTGTCCAGGTGTTCCCAGGTGTTTTCCAGGTGTCCCCAGGTGCCCCCAGGTGTTCCCAGGTGTGTCCCCCCTCACCTGTTGGTGGTCCAGCAGGGTGAGACCCCTGACCCCGGCCAGGATGAGGTTTTTGGCCACCTCGGCTCCGAGCCCACGCAGCCCCACCAGCAGCACCCGCGAGGCGCGCAACCTGCGGGACCCCCGGGAAAGGGGACACCTCAGCCGTGACAACGGGGGACCCCTCACCCCTGTGGGGGATCCCTCACCCCTATGGGGGACCCCTGATCCCTATAGGGCTACCCCTCACCCCTATGGGGCCACCCCTGTTCCCTATAGGACTACCCCTGACCCCTATGGGGACCCTCAGACCCTTTTGGGGACCCTCAGACCCCTATGGGGCGACTCCTGACCCCTGTAGGGCTACCCCTGACCCCTATGGGGCCACCCCTGTTCCCTATAGGGCTACTCCTGACCCCTGTAGGGCTACCCCTGACCACTATGGGGCCACCACTGACCCCTATGGGGACCCCTGACCCTTATAGGGCCACCCCTGACCCCTACAGGGATCCTCAGACCCCCATAGAGCCACCCCTGACCCTTATGGGGACCCTCAGACCCTTTTGGGGACCCTCAGACCCCTATGGGGCGACTCCTGACTCCTATAGGGCTACCCCTGACCCCTATGGGGCCACCACTGACCCCGATGAGGACCCTCAGACCCCTATGGGGCCACCCCTGACCCCTATAGGGCTATTCCTGACCCCTATGGGGACCCTCAGGCCTCTATAGAGCCAGCCCTAACCCCATGGTGACACCCCAGGGTCATACAGGCACCGCCAGACCCCTATAGAGCCAGCCCCCGACCCCTATAAGGACCCCCAACCTTCTATAGGGGCCTCCTAGACCCCTATAGGGACCCCCAAGAGCCCCTATAAAGCCCCCTCCAAGCTCCTGCAGGGCTCCTGTAACTCCTATGGAGCTCTTGCACCATCTATAGGGCCCTCCAAAGCCCATATAGAGACCACCCCAGCTCCTCTAAACCCGCCTGGCATCCATAGGGAGCCCCCAAACCCTTACACAGCCCCCCAGATCCTTCCAGAACCCCAAAAATCCCTACAGGACCCCCTCAGGCTCCTGCAGGGACCCTCCCGCCTCCTATAGGAGCTCCCCAAGCCCCTATAGAGCCCCTCCAGGTTATCCCCCAAGCCCCACCGACCGTTTTTGGGCCTCGAGCCCCCAGAGCCGGATCTGCCGGTCGTACTGAGCCGCCTCCTCTTCGCTGATGCCGCCGGGGCCGGACTCGTCCTTCTCCACCATCGCGGCGGCCCCCGAGACCCCCCTCAGGGTCCCTCAAAGCCCCTCACGAATCCTCCAAAGTCTCTCTGACCTTTCAGGCCGCTCTCGACACCTCGGAGCTCCTCAGGGGCCCTCAAAGACCCCTCAAAGCCGCTCACGGTCCCTCAAAGCCCCTCACGACCCCTCAAAGCCCCTCACGGTCCCTCAAAGCCCCTCACGACCCCCGAGACCCCTCACGGTTCCTCAAAGCCCCTCACGCAACTCGCGGCGCCCCCTAGCGGCCCGCGCAAACTCCCGCCCGCCGCCGCTCCACTTCCCGCCGAGCCGCGGGGGGAGGACGCACCGAATCCGCTCCCGGTGCCCGCTGTCCCTCAGGAGAAAAGAACGCTCAGGGGTTTCTTCTGTCGTCGTTTCATCCCGGTGTGACGGCGTGAGGCCGCGGCCGCGGTTTTGGGGGCCTTCCCGCGAGCAGTGTGGCACAATCCGTGTTGTTTTCCCCCCCGCTTTTCACACTCAGATGGACTCGTCCTCCTCCCATCGCGGGCGTTCCCGCCATTCCTCCCTCGGCTTCGTCAATCTCCGTCAGCCTCGTTGGGAGACTTTCGGAAGCGTTCCGAGCGCGCCTTCGGAAATATTCGGAAAGCGTCGGAGAACTTCGGAAATGTTCGGAGAGTTTTGGAGAACTTCGCGGAAATTCGATGATTTCCAAATCGAACGATCCCAAAGAAATAAAGCGGCCAAAGCGGTGCAAAAATCCCGTCAATAATTAGAAAAATCGGGGGCTTTGGGGGTTGTTTTCTCCTGGTTTTATAAAATCCATGCTGGTTTTTTTCCAAGTCACGACAAGATCCCGAACTCCCTGCCCGTTCTGCCCACCTTTCTGTATTTTCCTATAAAATCAGGAAATTCGGGATATTTTGGGGGGTTTGGGGTTTGTTGGTTTGTTTTTTTTTGCTGTGCGACATTTGGATGTGGAGAAACACCCCCGTGACTCGTGGAAATTCCGGGTGGGAAGAGGATTTTTGGGGAACATCGACTCCGACCATCAACGGGCACCGTTTTGGAGGGGTTTTGAGTAGGGAAAGAGAAACCCGTGAGGGGAAAAGACTCAAAAATCTCCTCATAAAGTTTTCTTTCTGCGAAATTTTGCTGTGAGAAAACTTCACCCGGAAATCCCCTTAGGCGGAGAGTTTCGGAACCGTTCGGAAAACTTCGGCAACATTCGGAGAGAATCGGGAGGCGCTCGGAAAGCGGAAAAGCCCGAGGAGCTCTTCGTGAGTCCTCGCCGCCTCTCGAAACTCTCCGAAGTGGCGGCGCTCGGGTGTTTCCGGCGGCGCTCGGGTGTTTCCGGCGGCCGTCGGGGCGCTGCCTCAGGGCGGGCGCCATTTTGTGTGTCCGCCCGCGGAGCGCGGAGCGCGGGGCGCGGGCGGAGGAGCCGCCGGGCCGAGCCCCCCGCGCCGTTCAGTGATTTGTGCCCCCACGTTCTCCACGCCCTGCCCGTTGTCCATGGCCGTGGAGAGCCCGAGTGTCCCCCCCGCCGCCGCCGCTTCCCCCCCCAGCCCGCACTGCACCCCCCCTTCTCCGTCCTGCCACGGCAGCTGCAGCCTCCCCCGGCCGCCGCCGCCGCTCCAAGGGCACCATCACGGCCCGGACGAAAGGTCCAGTAACCGCCTCTCCCGAGCGCCTTCTCTGTGTGCCCGGGGGTCGGTCCGGCGCGCCGGACCAGGTTTGGGGAGGGGGCGGCGGGAGGGAACGGGGAGGGGAGGGAGGCTGTGGGGAGGGGGCTCGGGGGGGACTCTGAGGAGGAGGAGGAGGAGGAGGGTGAGGAAGGGCCAGAGGGGGAATCGGGGGAGGCCCGGGAGGATGTGAGGAGGAGGAGGGTGAGGAAAGGCCTGAGGGGGATTGAGGGGGGGGGGTTGTGAGGAGGAGGAAGGAGGAAGGGCTTGAGGGGGATTTGGGGAGGGGGTACTGAGGAGGAAGGACGTGAGGGGGATTTGAGGAAGGGCCTGAGGGGGATTTGGGGGGGGGGGTTCTGAGGAGGAGGAGAAAGGGCCCGAGGGAGATTTGAAGAAGGACTTGAGGGGGATTTGAGGAAGGACCTGAGGGGGGATCCTGAGGAAGAGGGTGAGGAAGGGCCTGAGGGGGATTTTGGGGGGGTTCTGAGGAGGAAAGACATGAGGAGGATTCGAGGAGGGTGAGGAAAGGGTTTGAGGGGGATTTGAGGAGGAGGAGGAGAATGAGGAAGGGTTTGAGGGAGATTTTGGGGGGGTCCTGAGGAGGAAGAAAGGCCTGAGAGGGATTTGAGGAGGGGGAGGAAGGGCCTGAGAGGGATTTGAGGAGGGTGAGGAAGGGCCAGAGGGGGATTTGAGGAGGAGGAGGAGGGTGAGGAAGGGCCTGAGGGGGATTTGAGGAGGAGGAGGAAGGTGAGGAAGGACCTGAGGGGGATTTGGGGGGATCCTGAGGAGGAGGAAGGGCCTGAGAGGGATTTGAGGAGGAGGAGGGTGAGGAAGGGTTTGAGGGGGATTTGAGGAGGGTGAGGGTGAGGAAGGGCCTGAGAGGGATTTGAGGAGGAGGAGGAAGGTGAGGAAGGACCTGAGGGGGATTTGAGGAGGAGGAGGAAGGTGAGGAAGGACCTGAGGGGGATTTGGGGGGATCCTGAGGAGGAGGAAGGGCCTGAGAGGGATTTGAGGAGGAGGAGGGTGAGGAAGGGCTTGAGGGGGATTTGAGGAGGAGGAGGGTGAGGAAGGGCCAGAGGGGGATTTGAGGAGGAGGAGGAAGGTGAGGAAGGACCTGAGGGGGATTTGGGGGGATCCTGAGGAGGAGGAAGGGCCTGAGAGGGATTTGAGGAGGAGGAGGGTGAGGAAGGGTTTGAGGGGGATTTGAGGAGGGTGAGGGTGAGGAAGGGCCTGAGAGGGATTTGAGGAGGAGGAGGAAGGTGAGGAAGGACCTGAGGGGGATTTAAGGAGGAGGAGGAAGGTGAGGAAGGACCTGAGGGGGATTTGGGGGGATCCTGAGGAGGAGGAAGGGCCTGAGAGGGATTTGAGGAGGAGGAGGAAGGTGAGGAAGGACCTGAGGGGGATTTAAGGAGGAGGAAGAAGAGGAGGAGGCCCGATGTGGGGAGGGGGCTCAGGGGTCCTGAGGAGGAGGAAGAGGAAGAGGGGCTGAAGGCAGTGCAGGCCTTGGGGGGAGGACTGCGAGAGGATTTGGGAATATTTGGGATGGAGGATGATCCCTGGGGGAGGATTTAGGTCCTTTCTGGGGGTGCTGGGGGGGTTAACCCCAATTTTGGGGGGCTTTGAGTCCTCCCTGAGAGGCTCCAGCCCCTTTTTTAGGGGATTTATTTGGGGGAAGGGGATTAATCGTCTTTAGGGAAGACTAAAACTCCTTTTTTGGGGGGGGTCTCGAGGTTTGGGGGGGCTTTAGACCCTTTTTGGGGGGGTTTAACCCCATTTTGGGGGATTAAAATCCTCATTTTTGGGGGATTTTAGATACTGGAGGGGGCTCCGCTCTTTTGGGGGATTTTTCCTTCCAGAGGGGGAGGATCTAGTTGGGTTTTTTTGGGAATTGGGTACTTTTGGGAAAGGATTGAACCCTTTTTTTAGGTATATTTAGGTGCTGGGGGGTTTTAGCTCCTATTTTTGGGAGATTTAGCTCATTTTGGGGGGAGTTAGCCTCATTTTTTAGAGGTTCTGGTCCTTAATAAGTTCTTTATTCACTCCTTAAATTTCTCTTCATTTCCTTAAATCCCCCCCAAATTTGGATCAGGAAGTTTGGCTGGGATTTTTCCCCCTTTTTCCCATAGCCAAAAGTTTCATTTGCAGGGTTTCAAATGTTCCAAAAGCTCCGAATTTGCTCCCAAAATCCTCTTTTTCCCTCTTTTTGTGACCCCCCTCTCGGAGCCATTTCCTCTATTCCCGTTTTTTTTTTTTTGGTAGTTCAATCCGAATAATGTGAGAAAAAAACTGAAATTGGGGGGGTTTGGGGTGTTTTTAGGGGGAAAAAGAGGTAAATTCTGGGAATTTTTAGGGAAAAAGGGTAAATCCTGGGAATTTTTAGGGAAAAAAGGGAATTTTTGGGGTATTTTTAGGGAAAAAAAGAGAATTTTTTGGGTATTTTTAGGGGGAAAAGGTAAATCCAGGGAGTCTTGGGGTGCTTTTAGGGGGAAAAAAGGTGAAATAAGGGGATTTTTAGGAAAAAAAAGGGTAAATCCAGGGAATTTTCAGGGTATTTTTGGGGAAAAAAGGTAAATCCAGGGTGTTTTGGGGATATTTTTAGGGGAAGAAAGGTAAATCCAGGGAATTTTGAGGGTATTTTTAAGGAAAAAAGTAAATCCAGGGTATTTTGGGATATTTTTAGGGGAAAAAAGGTAAATCCAAGGAAATTTGGGATATTTTTAGAAAAAGAAAGGAGATTAAGGGAGGTTTGGGAATATTCCTTAGGAAAAAAGGGTAAATCCAGGGATTTTGGGAGGGTTTTACTGGAAAAAAAGGGAATTTTGGGGACCTGGGGTTCTTTTCCACGCGGGCTCAGGGTGGGAAATGAGTGGAAAATGTGGAATTTTACGATTTTTTGGTGCCTTTTCCCCTTCTTCCCTCGATCCCCCCACGATTCCCGAGCGTCAAATCCTTGGAAGTTCCCCCAGTGTGTCCCAAAACCAAGCAGAATTCCCCCAAAAAAAAGTCACAAAAGCACACAATTCCCAAACAAAAAAAAAACCCCAAAAAAAGAAATTTCTGAGTGAAACCACCCCGGAATTCCGACCTGGAACAGGATTTTCCACAAAAAAAAAAAGTCACAAAGTCGGTGGAAATCGCTGGAAAAAAAAAAAACCAAAAAGTGTGAAAATCATAAAAATCATAAAAAAAAAGGTGGTAAAAAGCACCTCACACTTCCCCTCCCCCCTTCAGCCCCAAAATTCCAGGAAAAAATTGGAATTTGGGGGGATTTTTACCCCTCCCCCCACACTTTTCCCTGTTTTTTGCCCTCTCTGTGGAAGCACAAGTTGGGTCAGGTCCATTTTTTCTGGTTATTCCCGGCAAAAAAAAAGCGGGAAAAAGTAAATCCCGGGATTTTGGGAGGTTTAGGAAGGGTTTGATTTATTCCAAAAGGGAATTTTTTCCTTTTCCCCTGCTGGTTTTCCCAGTTTTTTGGGTTTGGTGTGTCCCAAAAATCTCCAAAAATGGGATTTTTTTTCCTCTTTTTTTTTTAATGGGAATTTTATTAACAGAGGAAAATCCCTAAAAAATTGGATTTTCCCCCATTTTTTAAATGGAAATTTTATGGATAGAGGAAAATTCCTAAGAAAAAATGGGATTTTATTTTCTTATTTAAGGGGAATTTCATTATCCAAGGAAAATTCCTTTAAAAAATTGCATTTTCCGACATTTTTTTTAATGGGAATTTTATGGATAGAGGAAAATTCCTAAGAAAAAATGGGATTTTATCTTGTTTTTTAATGGAAATTTCATTATCCAAGGAAAATTCCTAAAAAAAAATGTGATTTTCCCCCATTTTTTTAATGGGAATTTTGTGATAGATGAAAATTCCTTAAAAAAATGCATTTTTATCCTTTTTTTAATGGGAATTTTATTATCTGGGAAAATCCCTAAAAAAAAAGTGATTTTTTTCCCTTTTTTTTAATGGGAATTTTATTAATAGATGAGAATTCCTAAAAAAAGTGGGATTTTATTTCTTTATGTAGTAGAAATTTCATTATCCAAGGATAATTCCTAAAAAAATTGGGTTTTCCCCTCTTTTTTTTAATGGAAATTTGATCAGCAGAGGAAAATCCATAAAAAAACCGGGATTTTATTCTCTTTTTTTAAGGAAAACTTCATTATCCAAGGAAAATTCCTAAAAAAAATGGGATTTCCCCCCTTTTTTAATGGAAATTTGATTATCTGAGGAAAATTCCTTTTAGAAAAAATGGGATTTTCCCTCTTTTTTTAATGGAAATCCCATCATGAGACAAAAATCCCTAAGAAAAAATGGGATTTTCCCTCTTTTTTTAATGGAAATCCCATCATGAGACAAAAATCCCTAAGAAAAAATGGGATTTTCCCTCTTTTTTTAATGGAAATTTCATCAGCAGAACTCCCAGATTCCCGGGATTATCCCAAATATTTGGGATTTGGGGTCCCAGCGTCGATTCCAACCCGGAATTCCAGCTGGAATTGTTGGATTCAGGAATTCATTTTGTTCCTTTTCCCAAAATTTTCCATTTCTGCCCCAAATTCCCCCCCGGATTTTGGGATTTGGGACATTTTTCCCCCCAAAAAAACCCCAGAAAATTCCCATTATTTTTCCAGGCGGAGCTGGGTCGGGATTTTGGGGAATTTGGGGTTTTTTTGGGAATATTGGGATCCTCCAGAAATTTGGGAGTCCCTCAGGAATTTGGGAATCCCTCAGGAATTTGGGAATCCCCCAGGAATTTGGGAATTTCCATGAGAATTTGGGAATCCCCCAGGAATTTGGGAATCCCCAGAGAATTTGGGAATCCCCCAGGAATTTGGGAATCCCTCCGGAATTTGGGAATCCCTCAGGAATTTGGTAATCCCTCCGGAATTTGGGAATCCCTCCGGAATTTGGGAATCCCCAGAGAATTCAGGGCTGAGCTCTGAGCCGCACCAGGCTCCGAAATTCCCGTTTTCCCCCCAAATTTGACCATTCCCGGTGTTTTTCCAGGGAGGATGGCGAGCTGGAGGAGGAGCCATCATTCCCATTCCCAAATTCCCAAAATCCCAGTATTTTCCAAGGAGCATGGTGAGCTGGAGGAGGAGCCATAACTCCCATTCCCAAATTCCCAAATTCCCAAATTCCCTCTGGTTTTCCAGGGAGGATGGCGAGCTGGAGGAGGAGCCATCATTCCCATTCCCAAATTCCCAAAATCCCAGTATTTTCCAAGGAGGATGGGGAGCTGGAGGAGGAGCCATAACTCCCATTCCCAAATTCCCAAATTCCCAAATTCCCTATGTTCCTCCAGGGAGGATGAGGAGCTGGATGAGCCATAATTCCCAAATTCCCATTCCCAAATTCCCAAATTCCCTCTGGTTTTCCAGGGAGGATGGCGAGCTGGAGGAAGAGCCATCATTCCCAAATTCCCATTCCCAAATTCCCATTCCCAAATTCCCAAATTCCCGGTATTTTCCAGGGAGGATGGCGAGCTGGAGGAGCCATAATTCCCACATTCCCATTCCCAAATTCCCAGGTTCCCGAATTCCCTGTGTTCCTCCAGGGAGGATGGCGAGCTGGAGGAGCCATAATTCCCACATTCCCATTCCCAAATTCCCAGGTTCCCGAATTCCCTGTGTTCCTCCAGGGAGGATGGCGAGCTGGAGGAGCCATAATTCCCACATTCCCATTCCCAAATTCCCAGGTTCCCGAATTCCCTGTGTTCCTCCAGGGAGGATGGCGAGCTGGAGGAGGGCGAGCTGGAGGAGGACGACGGCGCCGAGGAGGCTCCGGAGCGCTCCCGCTCCCGTTCCCGATCCCAATCCCGCTCCCAGTCCCGCTCCCAATCCCGGCGGGAGCGGCGCCGCAGCGGCTCCGAGGACGAGAAGGGGCAGCGGCGCCTGAAGCGCAAACGCCGCAAGGAGCGCGACAAGGACAAGCGCAGGGCCAAGAAAAAGAGGAAATCCAAGCACAAGGTGGGAAAATCCAAGGGTTTTTAGGGATTTTTCCAGGTTTTTCCGGGGTTTTTCTGGATTTTTTTTCCGATTTTTTTTTTCTGATTTTTTTCCGATTTTTTTCCGATTTTTTTCCGGTTTTTTTCCGATATTTTCCGATTTTTTTCTGGATTTTTGTGGTTTTTTCTGGTTTTTTTTTTTCCCATGGTTTTTTCCGTTTTTTTTTTCCCAGATTTTTCCAGTTTTCTTCCCAGTTTTTTTTTCCTGATTTTTTTCCATTTTTTTCGTGGTTTTTTTTCTGTTTTTTTCCGGTTTTTTCCCAGTTTTTTCCAGTTTTTTTCCCAGTTTTATCCAGTTTTCTTCCCAGTTTTTTCCAGTTTTTTTCCCAGTTTATCCAGTTTTCTTCCCAGTTTTTTTTTCCTGATTTTTTTCCATTTTTTTCATGGGTTTTTTTCTGGTTTTTTCCGGTTTTTTCCAGTTTTTTTCCCAGTTTTTTCCAGTTTTTTTCCCAGTTTATCCAGTTTTCTTCCCAGTTTTTTTTTCCTGATTTTTTTCCATTTTTTTCATGGGTTTTTTTCTGGTTTTTTCCGGTTTTTTCCAGTTTTTTTCCCAGTTTTTTCCAGTTTTTTTCCCAGATTTTTCCAGTTTTCTTCCCAGTTTTTTTTTCCTGTTTTTTTTCCATTTTTTTCATGGGTTTTTTTCTGTTTTTTTCCGGTTTTTTCCCAGTTTTTTCCAGTTTTTTTCCCAGTTTTTTCCAGTTTTTTTCCCAGTTTTTTCCAGTTTTTTTCCCAGTTTATCCAGTTTTCTTCCCAGTTTTTTTTTCCTGTTTTTTTTCCATTTTTTTCATGGGTTTTTTTCTGGTTTTTTCCGGTTTTTTCCAGTTTTTTTCCCAGTTTTTTCCAGTTTTTTTCCCAGTTTATCCAGTTTTCTTCCCAGTTTTTTTTTCCTGATTTTTTTCCATTTTTTTCATGGGTTTTTTTCTGGTTTTTTCCGGTTTTTTCCAGTTTTTTTCCCAGTTTTTTCCAGTTTTTTTCCCAGATTTTTCCAGTTTTCTTCCCAGTTTTTTTTTCCTGTTTTTTTTCCATTTTTTTCATGGGTTTTTTTCTGTTTTTTTCCGGTTTTTTCCCAGTTTTTTCCAGTTTTTTTCCCAGTTTTTTCCAGTTTTTTTCCCAGTTTTATCCAGTTTTGTTCCCAGTTTTTTTTTCCTGATTTTTTTTCCATTTTTTTCATGGGTTTTTTTCTGTTTTTTTCCGGTTTTTTCCCAGTTTTTTCCAGTTTTCTTCCCAGTTTTTTCCAGTTTTCTTCTCAGATTTTTTTCCTGATTTTTTTCCCATTTTTTTCATGTTTTTTTTCCTGGTTTTTTCCTGGGTTTTTCCTTTTTTTTTTTTTTCTATTTTTTTCTGGTTTTTTTTCATGTGTTTTTCCTTTTTTTTTTTCCCAGTTTTTTCCAGGTTTTTTTCCGAGTTTTTTTTCTGGATTTTTTCCACTTTTTTCCAGGTTTTTTTTCTGGATTTTTTTCCCACTTTTTTCCAGGTGTTTTCCTGGGTTTTCCCCCCTTTTTTTTTTCCTATTTTTTTTCTGGGTTTTTTTGGTGGTTTTTTTCTGGTTTTTTTTCATGGTTTTCTCCGGTTATTTTCCCATTGTTTTCCAGGTTTTTTCCGAGTTTATTTTCTGGAATTTTCCCACTTTTTTCCAGGTTTTTTCCCATTTTTTTCCTGATTTTTTTCCATTTTTTTTTCCTGTTTTTTCTGCTTTTTTTACTGGGTTTTTTCCGGGTTTTTTCCCTTTTTTTTTTTCTATTTTTTTTCTATTTTTTTCTGGGTTTTTTTCATGTTTTTTTCCAGTTCTTTTCCCAGTTTTTTCCATTTTTTTCCCAGTTTTTTTTCTGGATCTTTTTCCACTTTTTCCCAGGTTTTTTCACGTTTTTTTCCTGATTTTTTCCAGTTTTTTTAATGTTTTTTTCTGGCTTTTTCAGCTTTTTTCTGGGTTTTCGGGGTCGGGAGTGACTTTTCCCAAGGATTTTCCGGGAAAATTGGGAATTCCAGGGGTCAGGAGTGACTTTTCCCAAGGATTTTCCGGGAAAATTGGGAATTCCAGGGGTCAGGAGTGACTTTTCCCTAGGATTTTCCAGGAAAATTGGGAATTCCAGTGGTCAGGAGTGACTTTTCCCAAGGATTTTCCAGGAAAATTGGGAATTCCAGTGGTCAGGAGTGACTTTTCCCAAGGATTTTCCAGGAAAATTTGGAATTCCAGGGGTCAGGAGTGACTTTTCCCTAGGATTTTCCAGGAAAATTGGGAATTCCAGTGGTCGGGAGTGACTTTTCCCAAGGACATTCCCAGGAAAACCGGGAATTCCCAGGAAAACCGGGAATTGCGGAAGGCGGGGCCGGGAATTCCGGAGGCCGGGAAGGGCTCGGGGCTGATTTTTCCCGGGATTTTCCAGCGGCACGCTTCGTCCAGCGAGGAATTCTCGGATTTCAGCGACGACTCCGAGTTCAGCCCCGGGGAGAAGGGACACCGGAAATACCGGGAATACAGCCCCGCCTACCCCGTGAGTTCAGCTGGGAATACTGGGAATAAAAACCGGGAATTACCGGGAATTACTGGGAATAAATACCGGGAATACAGCCCTGCTTATCCCGTGAGTTCAGCTGGGAATACTGGGAATAAAAACCGGGAATTACTGGGAATCACTGGGAATAAATACCGGGAATACAGCCCCGCTTATCCCGTGAGTTCAGCTGGGAATACTGGGAATAAAAACCGGGAATTACCGGGAATTACTGGGAATAAATACTGGGAATACAGCCCTGCTTATCCCGTGAGTTCAGCTGGGAATACTGGGAATAAAAACCGGGAATTACTGGGAATAAATACTGGGAATAAAAACCGGGAATTACTGGGAATTACTGGGAATAAATACTGGGAATACAGCCCCGCTTATCCCGTGAGTTCAACTGGGAATACTGGGAATAAAAACCGGGAATTACTGGGAATTACTGGGAATAAATACTGGGAATACAGCCCCGCTTATCCCGTGAGTTCAACTGGGAATACTGGGAATAAAAACCGGGAATTACCGGGAATAAATACTGGGAATACCCAGGAATAAGATCTGGGAATTACCAGGAATTACTGGGAATACAGCCCCGCCTACCCCGTGAGTTCAACTGGGAATACTGGGAATAAAAACTGGGAATTACTGGGAATAAAAACCAGGAATTACCGGGAATACAGCCCCACCTATCCCGTGAGTTAAACTGGGAATACTGGGAATTACTGGGAATAAAAACTGGGAATTACAGGGAATAAATACCGGGAGTACCGGGAATACAGCCCCGCCTACCCCATGAGTTAAACTGGGAATACTGGGAATAAAAACTGGGAATTACTGGGAATAAAAACTGGGAATAAAAACTGGGACTTACTGGAAATACCCGTCATTATTTCCATCATTCCATTGTTCCTGTCATTCCCTTTATTCCCATCATCATTCCCATCATTCCCATTATCATTCCCGTTATTATTTCTGTTATCATTCCCGTCATTCCCATCATCATTCCCATCATCTTTCCCATCATTCCCATCATTCCCATTATCATTCCTGCTGTTACCATTCCCGTTATCATTCCCATTATCGTTCCCGTTATCATTCCTATCATCATTCCCATCATTCCTGTCATTCCCGTCATCATTCCCATCATTCCCATCATCATTCCCATCATTCCCGTCGTTCCCGTTATCATTCCCATCATCATTCCCATCATCATTCCCATCATTCCTGTCATTCCCGTTATCATTCGTGTTATCATTCCCATCATCATTCCCATCATTCCTGTCATTCCCGTTATCATTCCCGTTATCATTCCCATCATCATTCCCATTATCATTCCCATCATCATTCCCATTATCATTCCCGTTGTTGTCATTCCCGCTGTCATTCCGGCTGTTGTCATTCCCGTTGTTGTCATTCCCAGCATTCCCAGGCTCCGCGGCAGAGCCGCTCCAGGCCCGATTCCCGCGGCTACGGCTTCGAGGATCCCGAGGCCTTCGGCCCCAACGAGGAGGAGGAGGAGGCCAAGGACGGCTACGGAGACTTCGGAGCGGAGCTGAGCCCCTTCCGGCGCGGCAGGGAGCACGGCCAGAGGGCCAGGGGTACGGGGAAAACCGGGAATGAGCCGGAAAACCGGGATAAAACGGGCAGGGAGCACGGCCAGGGGGCCAGGGGTACGGGAAAAACCAGGAATGAGCGGGAAAAATGGGATAAAACGGGAATGAGCGGGAAAAAACCGGGATAAAACGGGCAGGGAGCACGGCCAGAGGGCCAGGGGTACGGGGAAAACCGGGAATGAGCGGGAAAAAACGGGGAAAAATGGGATAAAAGGGGGGGAATATGGGATAAAATGGGGAAAAATAGGTGGAAAACAGGGAAAACCGGGATAAAACGAGCAGGGAGCACGGCCAGAGGGCCAGGGGTATGGGGAAAACCGGGAATGAGCGGGGAAAAACGGGATAAAACAGGGGAAAAATGAGGATAAAACAGGCAGGGAGCCCCCGTTCCCGTTTCCCACCTCTCATTCCCGCTTTTCCCGCCGCTCATTCCCGTTTTTCCGCAGGCCGGGGCCGGGCCCGCGGGTTCCGCGCTCGGGGCCGGGGCCGGGGCCGGGGGCTGGGCCGGGGCCGGGGCCGCGCCCGCAGCGACCCCGAGGATGAGGAGGAGCCCTTCGAGGAGGAGATGGAGGTGAGCGGGGCTTACCGGGACTTTCCCGGGATTCCTGAGGGGATCCCGGGCCTTTCCCGGGATTCCGGGCCTTTCCTGGGATTTCTGAGGGGATTCCTGAGGGGGTTCCGGGCCTGAGGGGATTCCTGAGGGGAATCCAAGCTTTTCCCAGGATTCCTGAGGGGGTTCCGGGCCTGAGGGGATTCCTGAGGGGAATCCAAGCTTTTCCCAGGATTCCTGAGGGGGTTCCGGGCCTGAGGGGATTCCTGAGGGGATTCCAGGGTGTCTGAGGGGATTTCTGAGGGGATTCCTGAGGGGATTCCGGGCCTTTCCCAGGATTCTGGGCTTGGGGGGATTTCTGAGGGGGTTCCGGGTCTTTCCTGGCATTCCTGAGGGGATTCTGGGAGTTTCCCGGGATTCCTGAGGGGGTTCTGGGCCTTTCCTGGGATTCCTGAAGGGATTTCGGGCCTTTCCCAGGATTCTGGGCCTTTCCCGGGGTTCCTGATGGGATTTTTGAGATTTCCTGGGGTTCCTGAGGGGATTCTGGGCCTTTCCTGGGATTCCTGAGGGGATTCCTGAGGTTTCCCGGGATTCCTGAGGGGATCCTGGGCCTTTCCTGGGATTCTGGGCCTTTTCTGGGTTCCTGAGGGGATTCTGGGCCTGAGGGGGTTCCTGAGGGGATTCCTGAGATTTCCTGGGATTCCTGAGGGGATTCTGGGCCTTTCCTGGGATTCCTGAGGGGATTTCTGAGGGGATTCCAGGCCTTTCCCGGGATTCTGGGCCTTTCCCGGGGTTCCTGAGGGGATTCCAGGCCTTTCCTGGGATCCTGAGGGGATTCCTGAGGGGATTCCTAGTGTTTCCTGGGATTCCTGAGGGAATTTCAGGACTTTCCCAGGTTCCTGAGGGGATTCCAGGCCTTTCCTGGGATTCCTGAGGGAATTTCGGGCCTTTCCTGGGATTCCTGAGGGGATTCCAGGCCTGGGGGGATTCCTGAGGGGATTCCTGAGGTTTCCCGGGATTCCTGAGGGGGTTTTGGGCCTTTCCCAGGTTTGTGAGGGGATTCCAGGCCTTTCTTGGGATTCCTGAGGGGAATCTGAGCCTTTCCGGGGGTTCCTGAGGGGATTCCGGGCCTGGGGGGATTCCTGAGGGGATTCCTGAGGGGATTCCGGGCCTTTCCCAGGATTCTGGGCCTTTCCCGGGGTTCCTGAGGGGACTCCAGCCCATCCCGGGTTCCACCCGAGCCAATTCCCGCGTTATTCCCGTTTTTCCCAGTACTGCGATCCCGAGGAGCCGCTGGGCGACGACGACTTCGACGACTACGCCAAGGAATTGTCTCAGTACCGGCGCAGCAAGGAGAGGGGCCGGGGTGAGCCGGGAATTCCCGGGAATCCCAAATCCTGTCCCGAATCCTGGCCCAAATCCCATCCCCAAATCCTGTCCCAAATCCTGTCCCAAATCCTGTCCCAAATCCCATCCCCAAATCCTGTCCCAAATCCTGTCCCAAATCCTGTCCCAAATCCCATCCCCAAATCCTCATTCCAGGCCTGGAGAGGGGCTGGGGTGAGCCGGGAATTCCCGGGAATCCTGTCCCAAATCCCAGCCCAAATCCTGTCCCAAATCCCTCCCAAATTCCCAATCCCAATTCCCATTCCCAAATCCCAAATCCCCATTCCCATTCCCAATTCCCCATTCCCATTCCCAATTCCCCATTCCCAAATTCCCAATCCCAATTCCCACCCCAAATCCCCAATCCCCATTCCCAAATCCCCATTCCCAAATCCCCAATCCCCATTCCCATTCCCAAATTCCCAATCCCCATTCCCAAATTCCCAATCCCCATTCCCAATCCCCAATCCCCATTCCCATTCCCAAATTCCCAATCCCCATTCCCAAATTCCCAATCCCCATTCCCAATCCCAAATCCCCATTCCCATTCCCAAATTCCCAATCCCAATTCCCACCCCAAATCCCCAATCCCCATTCCCAAATCCCCATTCCCAATCCCAAATCCCCATTCCCAATCCCAAATCCCCATTCCCAAATTCCCAATCCCCATTCCCAATCCCAAATCCCCAATCCCAAATCCCCATTCCCAAATCCCCATTCCCAATCCCAAATTCCCAATCCCAAATCCCAATCCCCATTCCCAATCCCGATTCCCAATCCCAAATCCCCATTCCCAAATCCCCATTCCCAATCCCAAATCCCAATTCCCATTCCCAATCCCAAATCCCAATCCCCATTCCCAAATCCCAATCCCCAAATCCCCAATCCCCATTTTTCCCTGAATCCCGGAATTCCCGGAATTCCCAGGCCTGAGCCGAGGCCGGGGCCGGGCTCCGCGGGGCCGGGGCAGCAAAGGTCCCGGCCGGGGCCGCGGGAGAGGCCGGAGCGGGATGGGAAAATCCGGGATCAACGACGACGACGACTTCTACGACGAGGAGCTGGGGGTGAGCGGGCTCTTCCCGCCCAGAATTCCCCCCCAAAAAAAATTCCCAAAGTTCCCCCCCAAAAATTCCCCCAAAAATTCCCAGCATTCCCCAGAAATTCCTAAAATTCCCCCTCGAATTCCCCCAAAATTCCCCAAAAAATTCCCCCCAAAAATTCCCAAAGTTCCCCCTAAAAGTTCCCAAAATTCCCCCCAAAAATTCCCAAAATTCCCCCAAAAAATTCCCAAAATTCCCCAAAAATTCCCCTCAAAAATTCCCAAAATTCCCCCAAAAATTCCCCCCAAAAATTCCCAAAATTGCCCCAAAATTCCCCCCAAAAATTCCCCAAAAATTCCAAAAATTCCCCCAAAAATTCCCCAAAAATTCCCAAAATTCCCCCTAGAAATTCCCAAAATTCCCCCAAAAAATTCCCCAAAAATTCCCCAAATTCCCCCAAAATTCCTCCCCAAAAATTCCCCAAAAATTCCCAAAATTCCCCAGAAATTCAAAAAAATTCCCTAAAAAATTCCCAAAATTCCTGCCCTGCCGTGCGGCTTTTCCCTGCTCCGCAGCACCAAATCCTGGGATTTTCCCCTTGGAACGACACAAATCTTCCTTTTTTTCCCCAAATTCCTTTTTTTCTCCCCAAAACTCTAGGGATTTTGGACTTGAAACATTCCAATTTCCCCCTTTTCCCCCCAAATTCCTGGAATTTTCCCCTTGGAACAGCCCAAATTCCCCTTTTTCCCCCCAGATTCCCAGGATTTTGGCCTCGACAAACCCCAAATCCCCCTTTTTCCACCCCAAATTCCCAAGATTTTCATCTTGAAACATCCCAAATCCCATTTTTTCCACCCCAAATCCCCCTTTTCCCCCCAAAATTCCCAGAATTTTCCCCTTGCAACCCCCTAAAATCCCATTTTTCCCCCTCCAAACCCCAAAATTCTCCGCTCATACCCCCCCCCTGCACCGTCCATTTCCCGTTTCCCGCCCTTCCCATCCCGAATTCCCGTCGGAATTCCGGAATTTTCCCGGTTTTTCCCGGCAGGACGGGGGCGGATACCGGCGGGGGGAGCACGACAAGCCTCACCTGCCGGCCGACAAGAAGGGCAAGGTCATCTGCAAGTACTTCGTGGAGGGCAGGTGCACCTGGGTAAGGAATTCCCCAGGGAAAATTCCCGGAATTCCGGCCGGGAATGGCGGCCCCGGGTTGGGGGAGGGGTGGGTCACGTGTGTGCTGCTCAATTCCCGCCTTTTTCCTCCCAATTCCCGCCTTTTTTCACACCAATTCCCGCCTTTTTTCACACAAATTCCCACCTTTTTTTGCCTGATTCCTGCCTTTTTTCCTCCCAATTCCTGCCTTTTTCCTCCCAATTCCTGCCTTTTTTTACCCAATTCCCGCCTTTTTCCTCCCAATTCCCGCCTTTTTCCTCCCAATTCCCGCCTTTTTTTGCCTGATTCCCACCTTTTTCTTCCCAATTCCCGCCTTTTTTCACACCAATTCCCGCCTTTTTTTGCCTGATTCCTGCCTTTTTTCCTCCCAATTCCTGCCTTTTTCCTCCCAATTCCTGCCTTTTTTTACCCAATTCCCGCCTTTTTCCTCCCAATTCCCGCCTTTTTTCACACCAATTCCCGCCTTTTTTTGCCCCCCATTCCCGCCTTTTTTCCTCCCAATTCCAGCCTTTTTCCTCCCAATTCCTGCCTTTTTTTACCCAATTCCCGCCTTTTTCCTCCCAATTCCCGCCTTTTTTCACACCAATTCCCGCCTTTTTTTGCCCCCCATTCCCGCCTTTTTTCCTCCCAATTCCAGCCTTTTTCCTCCCAATTCCTGCCTTTTTTTACCCAATTCCCGCCTTTTTCCTCCCAATTCCCGCCTTTTTTCACACCAATTCCCGCCTTTTTTTGCCCCCCATTCCCGCCTTTTTTCCTCCCAATTCCAGCCTTTTTCCTCCCAATTCCTGCCTTTTTTTACCCAATTCCCGCCTTTTTTCGCCCAAATCCCACCTTTTTTTGCCTGATTCCCGCCTTTTTTTGCCCGATTCCCACCTTTTTTTACCCAAATCCCGCCTTTTTTTACCCAAATCCCGCCTTTTTTTGCCCATATCCCACCTTTTTTTACCCAATTCCTGCCTTTTTTACCCAAATCCCGCCTTTTTTTCCTGATTCCCACCTTTTTTTGCCTGATTCCCCCCTTTTTTTACCCAATTCCCGCCTTTTTTTGTCCAAATCCCGCCTTTTTTTACCCAATTCCCGCCTTTTTTCAACCAATTCCCACCTTTTCTTGTCCAAATCCTGCCTTTTTTCACCCAAATCCCACCTGGAGCTCACCTTTGTCACCTGTGTCACACCTGGAGCTCACCTTTGTCACCTGTGTCACACCTGGAGCACACCTGGATCACACTTTTCCTACCTGTTCTCATCTCACCTGTTCTATCTCACCTTTGTCCCTCGCCTGTTTTGTGTCTGTTCTGTGTCACCTGTCCCTTGTCACCTGTGTCCCTCACCTGTCCCCTCTCTCCTCTCACCTGTCCCAGCTGTTCCTGCTGCCTCACCTGTCTCACCTGTCCCTTACCTGTGTCACTTGTCTGTGTCTCCCCTTTCACCTGTCACCTGTCACGTGTCTGTCACTTGTCTCTCCCCTGTCTCACCTGTGTCTCTTGTCTGTCACCTGTCTGTCACCTGTCTGTCACCTGTCACCTGTCTGTCACCTGTCTGTCACCTGTCTGTCACCTGTCTGTCACCTGTCACCTGTCTGTCACCTGTCTGTCACCTGTCTGTCACCTGTCTTTCACCTGTCACCTGTCTGTCACCTGTCTGTCACCTGTCACCTGTCTGTCACCTGTCTGTCACCTGTCTGTCACCTGTCTGTCACCTGTCACCTGTCTGTCACCTGTCTGTCACCTGCCTGTCACCTGTCTGTCACCTGTCTTTCACCTGTCACCTGTCTGTCACCTGTCACCTGTCTGTCACCTGTCTTTCACTTGTCACCTGTCTGTCACCTGTCACCTGTCTGTCACCTGTCTTTCACCTGTCACCTGTCACCTGTCTTTCACTTGTCACCTGTCTGTCACCTGTCTGTCACCTGTCTTTCACTTGTCACCTGTCTGTCACCTGTCTGTCACCTGTCACCTGTCTTTCACCTGTCTTTCACCTGTCTGTCACCTATCTGTCACCTGTCTGTCACCTGTTACCTGTTTTTCCCGTCTCTCACCTGTCTCACCTGTCTGTGTCTCCCTCGTGTTTCACCTGTCTCTGCCCTGTCACCTGTCACCTGTTTGTCACCCGTCACCTGTCTCACCTGTCTGTGTCTCCCTCGTGTTTCACCTGTCTCTGCCCTGTCACCTGTCACCTGTCTGTCACCTGTCTGTCACCTGTCTGTCACCTGTCTGTCACCTGTCTGTCACCTGTCTGTCACCTGTCTGTCACCTGTCTGTCACCTGTCTGTCACCTGTCTGTCACCTGTCTGTCACCTGTCTGTCACCTGTCTGTCACCTGTCTGTCACCTGTCTGTCACCTGTCTGTCACCTGTCTGTCACCTGTCTGTCACCTGTCTGTCACCTGTCTGTCACCTGTCTGTCACCTGTCTGTCACCTGTCTGTCACCTGTCTGTCACCTGTCTGTCACCTGTCTGTCACCTGTCTGTCACCTGTCTGTCACCTGTCTGTCACCTGTCTGTCACCTGTCTGTCACCTGTCTGTCACCTGTCTGTCACCTGTCTGTCACCTATCTGTCACCTGTCTGCCACCTGTTACCTGTTTTTCCCGTCTCTCACCTGTCTCACCTGTCTTTCCCCTGTCTCTCCCCTGTGTGTCACCTGTCTGTCTCTCACCTGTCTCACCTGTGTCTCTCACCTGTGCAGGGCGATCACTGTAACTTCAGTCACGACATTGAGCTGCCCAAGAAGCGCGAGCTGTGCAAGTTCTACATCACAGGTTACTGCGCCCGCGCCGACAGCTGTCCCTACATGCACGATATCCTGCTAAACCTGGCTTAAACCTGGCCTAAACACACCTGAACACACCTGGACACACCTGGGACCTCCCCAAAACCCACCTGAACCCACCCAAACCCAGCCTAAACCCACCCTGAACCCACCTGAAACCTCCCCTGAATCCACCTGAACCCGACAGCTGTCCTTACATGCACGATATCCTGCTAAACCTGGCTTAAACCTGGCCTAAACACACCTGAACACACCTGGACACACCTGGGACCTCCCCAAAACCCACCTGAACCCACCCAAACCCAGCCTAAACCCACCTGAACCCAGCCTGAACCCTCCCCTGAATCCAACAGCTGCCCCTACATGCACGATATCCTCTTAAACCTGACTTAAACCACCCTAAACCTGCCCTAAACTGCCCTAAACTGCCCTAAAACCACCCAAAACTGCCCTAAAACCACCCAAAACCATCCTGAACCTGCCCTGAGCTGCCCTGAAACCACCTAAAACTGCCCTAAAACCACCCAAAACTGCCCTAAAACCACCCAAAACCGCCCTAAAACCACCCAAAACCGCCCTAAACTCACCCAAAACTGCCCTAAAACCACCCAAAACTGCCCCAAAACCGCCCTAAAACCACCCAAAACCGCCCTAAACTCACCCAAAACTGCCCTAAAACCACCCAAAACCGCCCTAAAACTGCCCTAAAACCACCTAAAACTGCCCTAAAACCACCCAAAACCGCCCTAAAACTGCCCTAAAACCACCCAAAACCGCCCTAAAACTGCCCTAAAACCACCCAAAACCGCCCTAAAACTGCCCTGAAACCACCCAAAACCGCCCTAAAACTGCCCTGAAACCACCCAAAACTGCCCTAAAATTACCCAAAACCACCCTAAAACCACTCTAAAACTGCCCTGAAACCACCCAAAACCGCCCTAAACTCACCCAAAACTGCCCTAAAACCGCCCTAAAACTGCCCTAAAACCACCCAAAACCGCTCTAAAACTGCCCTAAAACCACCCAAAACCGCCCTAAAACCACCCAAAACCGCCCTAAAACTACCCTAAAACTGCCCTAAAACCACCCTAAAACCACCCAAAACTGCCCTAAACCCACTGCAAACCATCCTAAAACTGCCCTGAGCTGCCCTGAAACCACCAAAAACTGCCCTAAAACCACCCAAAACTGCCCTAAAACTGCCCTGAAACCACCCAAAACCGCCCTAAAACTGCCCTAAAACCGCCCTAAAACCACCCAAAACCACCCTAAAACTGCCTTAAAACCACCCAAAACCACCCAAAACTGCCCTAAAACCACCCAAAACCGCCCTAAAACCACCCAAAACCGCCCTAAAACCACCCAAAACCGCCCTAAAACCACCCAAAACCGCCCTAAAACCACCCAAAACTGCCCTAAACTCACCCTGAGCTCAGCCTGCAATGGGATTTCGGGGTCCTGGGTTATTCCTGGGTTATTCCCGAGTTTTTCCCGGGTCATTTCCTGAGTTTTTCCCAGGTCTTTTCCCGGGTTTTTCCCAGGTTTTTCCCGGGTCATTTCCAGGGTTTTTCCCAGGTTTTTCCCGGGTCATTCCCGGATTATTCTCAGGTCATTCCCAGGTTTTTCCCGGGTCATTTCCAGGGTTTTTCCCAGGTTTTTCCCGGGTCATTCCCGGATTATTCTCAGGTCATTCCCAGGTTTTTCCCGGGTCATTTCCCGGGTCATTTCCGGGTTTTTCCCAGGTCATTTCTCAGGTCATTCCCAGGTTTTTCCCAAGTTTTTCCCAGGTCATTCCCGGGTCATTTCCCGGGTTATTCTGGGGTTATTCCCAGGTTTTTCCCAGGTCATTCCCGGGTCATTTCCCGGGTCATTCCCAGGGTTTTTCCCGATTTTTCCGGGTGTTTCCCTTGACATTCCCCAGGGATTTCCCAGGTTTTTCCCA